AGGAGGAGGAGGAGGAGGAAGATCACACAGCCATCAGACCTCTTCACACAGAGCCGAAGTCTTACAAAGCTTCTGGACTCTGACTTCAGTTTCAGCTTTGTATCTGCTTATGGCCCTCCTGTGAGGTAACCTTGACCAGCCGCTCAATTTAAATTATATTTCTTTGTTCGTGCAATAACTATGTTGCTATGAAAATTAAATGATCTTCTCTGAGTAAAAAATTTAATGCAGGAATCTGTTTTGTTTGTGGGCTTTTTACTTTTGTTCTTAATTACAAGGGCTAGCAGGAGCTTGTAGTCCCTGTAGGTGAGCCCCACTGAGCTCGAGGATGCAAGAAGATCCCCCTTATTCTTGTGGACATCTGCCTTCTCTCTTCATGCTTCCCCTAGCCCACCCCTTACACTGGGCCCACCCCTGATTTGACACACATGTGCTTCAATGAAGAGGAGACAGCCAGGACAAGCAGTGAGCCGAGAAGCTGTCGTCAAGACCGGAAAGCACGGCTGGCAGTAACGTGGTCCCCCAGTGGAGCCCCGATGCCCCGAAGGGCGCGAGAGCACACGGAAAAGGAAGAAAGCCATGGCTTGGCATAATGCAAGTTGCATTCTCGAAGGAGACATTACATCGTCCTACCTGTGACGTTGAGTGGTACCACCTCACTGCGCTTCCTCCCCCAGCCATTGTCAGCCTCACAGGCGTAGTTCCCAGAATGCCCTGCAGTCAGAGTGAGCTTAAAGGCTCCTTTTCCTCCAGAAGGTGCTGAGGTGTTGCCCAGAGTGATATTTTCGTGATAAAACCAGTACAGAACGGGAGGAGATGCTCTCTTGTCTTCACACTGAAGCTCCACCACGTCCCCAATAAAGGGCAGCACCCCAGGAACATTGATGGAGAGGACAGGGTCCAACACCGGAACTGACAGAGCACAGTAGAGCGTCAGGGGGAGTGATAAGACTGAGAGTCTACCCCGCTGTCACTCAAGTTCTTCTAGTCCAGCCCCTGTGTCCTTTCCCCACATCTCACTGCTTGATCTAACCCTCCAGGGAAGGGTCCAACAGAGCTGTTAAGCATTGATGAAGAATTCAGGAGAGCACGCCTCTGATTACACCCCACAATCTGCCTCCAGTTCCATCTCTGTGCCCTCTTTCAGCTCCTCTGCCACTGTTGACACTTTTACACCCATCAAAACAAAAAGCCTGCTGTGTTCAGACCCCTTCCCAGCCTCTTCCTGCCTTGTGTACTTTGTCCCATCTTCCAGCATCCCCAGCTGGGCGTTGCTGGCTCCCGATTGGGAATGTTGCTTACCTTTCACTGTGACGGTCACCACTGCACTCTGGACAAGGCCATAGCTGTTGTCAGCAGTACAGTAGTAACCCCCTGCGTGGCTCTCCCTGACAGGAGCGATCTCCAGCTCTGCTCTCTGGGAATGCTGGCTTTTCCTCCCCACACTTTCCTTTGTATCCTCTCTGTGCCAGGAGTACATGATGAGCCCTGTGCCTTTAGCCACAGAACAGACAAGGACCAGCGATTGCCCTTCAATTCCCCAGTCCCCTGGAGACTGGATCTCCATGGAGACTTGAGACACAGGGATCCCTGTGAACAGAAGACAACTGTTAAAGACTGGGTGCGGAAATTCAGGATGGGATGGGTCCAATATCACCTGCTGGGAATTATGGCAGGTGGATATATGGAATTGAGAGTCCACACTGCTTGTCTGGGAATGGCGCATACTGAGGTGCATTGCACAGGACCACCCTGCAATCTGATGCTCAATAACAATCCTATTCTGCACTTCCTCCCTTTTCCCTACCCACTCTGGTGACCACATCTCACAGTGTTCTGCCTCTCTTGACTTCTTTGTGAACCTGAGGCAGTAGGAGAAAGAGACTAGAATCTCATAAACAAGGTTTTTCTGACCTGAGCAAAAATAAATAAAGCTGCCATTTAATAGCTGCAGAATCTTTGTAAGTCTATATTTCTTTTTTTTTTTTTTTTTTTTTTTTTTTTTTTTTTGGTTTTTCGAGACAGGGTTTCTCTGTGTAGCTTTGCGCCTTTCCTGGAGCTCACTTGGTAGCCCAGGCTGGCCTCGAACTCACAGAGATCCACCTGGCTCTGCCTCCCGAGTGCTGGGATTAAAGGCGTGCGCCACCAACGCCCGGCGTAAGTCTATATTTCTAAGCCCCAATTTTTCTCAATAGCCTTTGGATAATCATAGTAACCTCACAGAGTTCTCATGAGACTAGCTGAGATGCGTACCTAAAGCAGTCTTGCTCACACCAGCACTGTTCAGCACTGTTAACTACTGATGCTGCCAGTCTCTGGCTGGATGGGAAGTGCTACAGAGTATATCAAATTTAAATCCCAGGTCTGTGTGCTGGGTTTCCTTATGCATTTTCTGAACAGCTCCTTGCTTTGGGTTTCTTTGTCTGTAACGTGGGGGGGATCACAGGACACACTTTACAGGCACTACTCATAAAAGTATTTCCCAGGCCACTGTGAAGACAAAATGTTCAACTGCTCTGAACAGTATCTTGCAGGTGGTGCATCTTCCTGCCTTCTGCAGCATTTGTGAAAGTCAGAGAGAGTCTAGAACAACACAACCGTGTAGTTGGTTGTTTTTTTTTCTCTTTCTCTTTGCTCTTTGTGGGTCCTGCCACCCAGCTCCCAAATAAATACACACAGAGGCTTCTTATTATTTATAAATGCCAGGCCTTGGCTTGGCTTATTT